AAAAAAAAAAAAAAAGCGAAGGCGTGCAGGTGCAGTGCCACGCAAGCCGATGACAAACGGCGTCAGGAAGCCATTTAGCGGAAGGGCTGATTTGCACCCATCGTGGGGTTGTAGGGCTTATTTGTCACTTTTTTAGTTCAGGCGCTTATCACTTGCTGTCAAAAAAGTTGAGGGGCTTAAGATGGGTTTTTGCCCATATGGTGAGCAGGGGTCCCCCTTACTTTTCTTACGATCGTTTTGTGGAACCACTTATTTCAATAGCCTCATTGTCATAATATTAGCCGTTGGATGAATTGTCATCTGACATGATATAGACATTTGCCACAATTTAGAACAGATTCTCTCTCTTTGGTCCTCTCTCTGGTGATCTTCATTTATCAACAATATTGATGCCAACGCCACCTCTCTGTTCCGTGATGATCATTCAGGTCTGCTTCTCTTAAAATTATGCACCCAATCCCTAGATCCCTAATTCATCTTCCTTCTACAAACTCAGAGCTCCTTTCTTTTTCATCTTTCTTCCTTATTTCACCAACTCCAGGTCTGTTATTTTCCTATCAGTGATATTCATGCTCCAGATCTAATTTTTTCTTTCATCCTCCTTATCCAAACTCATAGCTCCTTTGTTCTTCATTTTCTTCCTTCTTTCAACAAGTCAGAATCTATTACCCTTTTGTTTTGGGCTACGATCTCAATTCATGGCATCGCCAAGATTGGAGCCTACTTGGATCTACTGGGTGTAGAAGGTCGAGGTGGATTTTCATATCCAACTGATATCGGGGGTTTTAGCACTGGCTGCATGGATCTAATTACGGGCTGCGATCTCTTAATAGCATTTCAAGATTTTTGACTCCTTGTGGTCTAGGAGATGATAAGGGGTTAGATCTTGCTAAAGTTAAAGTATAAGACTCTCTGTTCTGCCTTAGCTCTGTTCTTACCTCTAACTTAGATTTGCCCTTTATATATATATATATATATATATGTATCTATATATTTTAAGGTGGGGTGAAGTCAGGTTTGCAGAGATCGGGGACCTGTCATAAGGGAGCTTATGTCCAATTCCAAAGATGGTGTATACAGAAAAGGTATACCTCTTTCAATTGTGTCTTTTTTATTGGAAGTAAGTTAAGCGTATGTTTTTCTCTCTTAGCAATCTCAATTTACAGTCTTCCTGCTTTTCTTAAAATCTCACAAGAGATCACCTTCCATAACCTTACTTAGGGACCATATGCAGCATAATCTCATTTTGCATCGCGCATCTCATATCTTGTTATGTACTGCTATAAGGCCAGACACTTTCTTTCTTGGGCCTTAACTCTTGTACGCAGCCTTCATCATTATACATTATAGGTTCCAAAGGATTACCCATGCCAAACAACTTGCCCATAGAGATGGTTACAATATTACATTTAACTGCAACATCAAAAGCATCAACTACCTCAGCTTGGCGTTTACAATTTGACCCGTAACGACACGTAACATTTGGTTTATTCTTTGGTTCTGTGTGATTTGCTGCTGTGTGAGCTGCTGGAGGGTTGGGCATGAGTTCTTTTTGGTTCTTTTCGTAGTTCAAAGCAATCTAATTAACTTATTGTCTTGCTAGGTTCAGTTGAAAGACAGCCTTTGAGGAATGCAAACAAGGATCACCTGAGATTGCTCTAAGGATTCCAGGTACTCCTACTACCTTTTGTTTGGCCTTTTGTCATTCAATTGTGTTAAGGCATGATGAACAGACAGCAAGATATGGTAAAACTAATATCCATACATATATGCGAACAAAGTTTATATTTCCTCCAATACAATTCATTCTGCAATTCTATTTCTAATTCCACATAGTAGGGTGTATGAACCACAAGGTGTACATGCAATACAATACATGCCAAAAATAATGTTTTGAAATATGTTGAAATCGGTAATGCTGGATGTCTCCATTAGCCTCTGATCTTTACTGTTGGGGTGGAATTGGGATGAAGATTTGGTTGGTGGTGAATGCTGGGTTGCTCGGGAATACAAAAGCATTGTACACCATTAATTCAAAAGGAGGTGTTAGCATCAGGATGGTGTATGGTCTCTGTATTTGGGCGCCGTATTCAGCTAGGCACCTGAGGCTTTGTAGCCTGTATGTGATATTTACATCTTGCACCAATTGATTTCCAAGGTGTTCATAAACGTTCTGTTAGTCAAAAAAATTTATACAAGTGTATAAGATGAATGAATACAAGTTATAAATAGAGCTTTTAGAAGAGGAGTTTATGGTTTACCTGATCAAAGATGTGTGGTTCATTCATATTAGGGGAGGTGATCTCAACTGTACCATTTTGTCTTGCTGTGAGTGTCACTAGGTGGAGTGCATTCAGCAGGAAGTCTGCATAAAATGAAATCAGCTTATTAGTGTGCACATAGTAAATTCATCAAAAGATAAAAATGAGGGGCAGGGGGGTTAAAGAGTAAAGGGAATACGCCATGGGTGGTTGTGGAATGGTCCAAAAATTTGTTGAAGTTGAGTCCTCAGATGAGCAGTATTGATCTTGATCCTTTGCCTGTGTTGATGGAAATTTAAATTTAGGTTCATTGGCTGTCCCAAATGTCCATGTTTATAAATTGTGAGTGTGTTCCTTGCCCGGTCCGTAACATACTCCTGCATGTTTGGGTGGTTCTGGTTCACATGAACCTCAATGTAAAGTTGATTATCTCTTCTGATCTTTTCTACTTCATTACTCAGCTCAACCAAACCCATTTGGGTAACACGTGCAGATAAAGGAACACTTTGAAGGGTGGGATGGATCACCCAACATAGAACTGAGTTATCTGGCCCTATCACTGCCATGCAGAGGTATCGGTCGTCAGCAAAGATTTGTAAACTGTACATGTGTGTGAATGGCCTTGACGATAACTCGAGCAATTCCAATCCTCTTTTGAAGTTAATGGCAACAGCTCGTACAGTGTGAGGTAGGTTTGCGAGAGCAGCTACCTTGTTGTCTCCCATTTTCTTGCTCAAAAGCTCCTTTTGACCTGAGAATGTGATAATGAAATTTATTATTACTAATACTGTGAAGGGCACTAGTCAAGAAGGCTAATCCCCAAATCCACTCACAAATAGAGGATAGGGAGAGATTTGCCCCAAAAAGAAGAAACGGTAAGGACAAATTGCACTTTCAAATTGTCAATTAAGACAAATCACGTAGTATTTAACATGTGATGTTATCATAAATCAGTTTTTTGTTAAAAAATGGCTTAGGTGACAAACGGATTCCTGACGTGTGATGACATCACACGTTAAATAATGGGTAATTTGTTTTGATCGACAATTTGAAGGAGAAATTTTGTTGGAAAATTTTCTGGGCTTCTGCTAATTATATTTGGTTTTCAAAATTGGGCCAAATGAAAAACCAATAAAGCCCAATAAAATTATGTGATCCAAGTGAGTTCAGGTTTTATTTTAGTTTTGTATAATGTGATATAAATAGGTGTAGGGTATGGAATTAAAGGTGGGGTACCCAAAAGATTATTATAATGAGTAGGTCCCCTATTTCATTCAGAAAACGTGATATAACCCATTAGTTGTCACCATACAAAAGTTGAATAGGGAGAGGAAGACCTAAGTTTCAATACTAATCATATTTATTTTGTAGAATGGAATTATGATGATCCTTGATGATCCTTGATGATCTTTGGATAACATACTGATTATGGAGATTAAGGTATGCAATTTATTTATTTTGTTATATCTTAATACCTTAAATTCTACATATGTTGATCATTAAATTTTAACATGTGGTATGAGAGTGGTCATACGTGATTTAGGATCCAGGTTGTAATTATTTAAAATTGTTTCTTGTATATATGTTTTTGGAAAGTTGGATGAAATCTTTTGTTTTCATAAATTGTTGATGCTTTGAAGCCGAAATTAAAAGATGGCTTTATGATTGAGTATGTTTAAGTGCTAATAGGTGATTAAGTTTGAATATTCTATTATGTTAAAATTCTCAATTGATTTTGAGTGTGTTTTCTGATGTGATGAGACCTTCACTTGTTTGGTGTCGTTGGATTTATACTAAGGTGATTATTGATCGGCAGTGATTAATTGGATTAAAATCAAGAATTATAATTGAGAAATTGATTGGTTTCATTGGTGTGGTTTTGACAAAACCAAAAGAAATTTTGATTTGGAGGTTCTCAGGTTCCTTTGTTTTTAAATCGTGATTAGATTCTGGGGGTACGCTAGTGAACAATCAAGAGGCCTTAGAATCAATAAAACATGCTCCTATAATATCTTCTGTGATTCAAAATTGATGTTTCAAGGTTTGGTTTGATTAATTTGTTAAAGCCAAACAAATTTGCCTTAATTTGAACTTCTTTTAATTGTGTTTTATCTAGGTCAAATCTTGATTTTACTGAATGCATTGATTCTGGTTGTGATGGTATATTGTGGAGATCAATTGAAAAGTTTTGTGGGGATTAGGGAATGGTTTGCTGGTTTAGTGGTATAAACTGGGCAGTTGCCAATTTAACTAAAATCTAGTTTCATGTTGTGAAACAGATTTTGATGGTTAGAGATGATTAAACCAAAATTTCTTATCTAGTTCCTTAATGGTTTGTTTAATGTAATATTGTCCCTAAAGTTTTAAAAGTTTACAAATATTTTAAAGTCAAAGGCACTGTTGATACAGTAGTAATGGATGGTCATAAAGTAAGGACTCAATCATCTGAACTAAGTTTATATATAAAGGGAAAATTCAGCATATAAAAGCAATTAAAAAAATATATAAGAACAATAGGTATTTAATTCCTATGTCTTTTTTATGTGTCTAAAATAATCTCTTAAATGATTATGTGATATAGAGCTAGTCAAGTCTTTGGGGATTGGTGGGTTTGTATTGTCATGTTCTTCCGTTGTGTAACATCTTGTTAATTTATAAGTGTTGGCTAATTTAAATGAAACTTTTTAAAAAATAATAATAATAAAGTCGAGGGACCAATATTGTTATTTTACCATTAAAAAATTACATAATGGGGAAAAAGTCCAACTTGGACTTGTTTTCACATGGGTGAAGGTGTCTGCGCATAAATAATCATCAGCTATTGTGCAAGTCTGACACAATGTGAGGGTATCGACACTTAATCAATTTTCAGAGCATTAGAAGTTTTAATTCTCTGATGTTACTGCCATTTCTCTTCAACTAGGATTTCTTTTAATTGTGTATTATTTTTCAATGATACACAATGTATATTAGATTTTATATGAGGAATACCTGTTAATATAATATAATTTCATTTAATGATTATAAATGTACATCAGAATAATTTTTTACATAATAAATGTGTATATTTTTTTTGTCAAAATTAAAATGCATATTAAGTGCAATTTAGAAAATATGTATCAATTGGAGGTTAAAAATGCATGGTTAGTGGCAAATAAGTTTTAATATGGCATGTTTTTCATGTTTTGGTGTGAAATTATTTTGTGAATATTATTATGCATATGATACATGTTATGAAACACATCTTGGAGATTAAGTTTTAGGCTTATGTTAAATTGATTAGCCGTAATTGGAGGTATATGAGTTTTATATACCCTATTATTTATATATTTTAATATCCTTGGATAAAATTTCTTGAAATTTATTGCAGTACTCATTTGCAATGGTTTTTTTTTTTTTTTTTTTTTTTTTTTGACTATTAATAAGGATATTTATAGTCATGGATAAATGAGTAAATAATTTAGAAATTTTAATTCTCGTTAACAATTGTTTATCTTCATGTGGTTTAACATGTGGGTTTTATGATATTATGTTTCTAATAAACATGAAGTGTCTATATTTGGATGTAAAGAATGTATTTTTAGTTGCCAAAAAAAATGATATATAAAACTAATTATGCATTTAGAGAGCATAATTGTTATTGGCTACTAATTTTATATTTATATGAAAATTTAGAAAAATTTTAGAGAATATATATTAAAAGTGCACTAAGGATTGTTGAGAATTACAGTCTCAATGATTTGTTAATGATTTGTTAAGTTGTATCAGGGCAAACTATAATGGTATAAAGTAACTAAGTTATGATTTTATTCATGTTGGTATTTTATTTAATATGAAATTATTTGTTTTCATGTATGGATTTTAGCATGTGAATTCTATAGTTTAACTACTCAATTTTTACATTTCTAGAGAGGTTTTATGGAATTAAAGTTTGGGTATAACTTACGACATAATTTAAGGTTAAATTATTAGATATATAACAGATTTTGTTGGCAATTAATTAACTTCAAGGAATAATTATGGATATCTATTGTATATATCAGTAATAGTCTAATTGTGGCAGTGTGTGAAATTTAAAAATCTCAAAAAAAAAAAGAGATAAAAGTTCTAAAAATTTTAATATGTGTATCTTAGTTTATTTAAGATATTTAAGATATTTTAGATACTGATGAGGATTTCATATATTTTTTTAGTATTAAAGTAATGGAATCAATTAGTATTGAAGGTTTTTGCGAAAGCTTCAAGATTCTCTTAATTTATATATTTTAATTATTAAAGATTATAAAAAATAGGGTTGAGAGATATTATAGAGCCATATATTTATATAGATAAAATTCCTAATAAGATTTTATGATTAATATAAATAACCTAGGGGTTCATTTATTAGGATTAATGCCTTTTGTCACTAAAGATTTTTAGGATATCAAGAAATTTTGTTCTAGATTTCCCAATAAGAATTTTGGAATGTTGCATTATTTATGGGTAAATGTTTTAATGGAAGCTTGTGAGTTGAGGTAAATGGTACTAGATGTTTCTTAGTAAGGATTCGGGAATGTTATGATAGGTTGTCCAAAAGGGGTGATGTGCATATTGACTAAAACTTTTGCCTCAACGGGATTATGTTTTGTAAGACCATTTTTATTAATTCACTTGTAATATAAAACTTTTGAGATTTGATAAAATTTTACATTCAGTAATTTTATCAAACTACCCATGTCATTAAAATGAATTACTAAAAATAAGGAATAAAGTTGCTACTTCCATATTAGTGTATGCAATATTGTGCTTAAAGGTTATTATTATTGTATGTATTAACTTAAAGTAGTGGCAGCAGTTAGTAAGATTATAAGTATTTATACATATTTGCTAAAGAATGATTTTCTTACTAATTAATTTGTTAAGCTTAAAGTTTATGGACTTATTTAATCATTATATAGAGTTTTCCATAACGTAAAGGACACTTGTGTTGTAAACTCCTTGTAAGAATATTACTGATTTGTTACTTCTAGTTATGGTTCTTTCAAGTATTCATGTTCATATTTAAGAGTAGTTGATTCAAGTATTGCTATTACCTATTTATAAATTATGAATATGAAAGTTTATTTTAAATAGTGATGCATAGATTAAATAATGTAGGAGTTCATTATCAAGGATACAAGTATAAAGTTAAAAGGGAATCATACTAAGGTTTAAAGTACAAAGTGCACCATGTAAAACTTATTTTGTAAGGACATATTAAAGGTAATTGTTGATTTTACCTTATAAAATTAAAATAAGAGTGATATTGAGATGAAAGTATGAATAATGACTATAGTCATGCATTATTATAATTATGTTGACTAATTTATTGATCAAGAGATTATATCTTAGTTATTTATGAGATTGTTTTAAATATTCTTGATCAATAGGACACGTTGAATTCTTTGTCAATAATGAGCTTTATTTTGCTTATTGTATCACTTATTATTTTATGATGGATGTGCATTTTACTAATAATTTTTATAAGCTCATACAAATGTTAATGTCAAGATCTCAAGGTATAAATCATAAATGCTTCTTCAGAAGTGTGTTAACTTCTTTTGAAGTATAAAGATTTTTCTAGAAAAATGTGGGAGACTATCTCCTGAGTGTCAAGGAAACTAGAATAAGATTTAAAAGACTTCTTTAGGGAAGTGTAAAGGGGATTACATCCTAGTAAAGGGTTTCTTTGAAACCATAAAAAGGATCATTATGATTTTGATATATTATATATTACATGGATCATGTTATGGTAAACCACACTCCACTTTATCACATCCATTGGAATTAATGTTAGTAGAAATATTTGATATTTGTGATTGTGAGGGGTCTTGTGTTGCTAGTAATATGATGACCACACAGGTTAGTATTGGTATTTTTATTTAACGAAATTTTATGTTGAGATTTTGATTTATATTTGTGGCCATTAAAGTTATATTTGTTATATTTGACTCGAGTCATTTTTTAAAATATATTTTTCAAAGTTTTAAAATCAATCAGCATTGTTTAAGTGAGAGAAAATGTCAGAAAATTTTATGTGGGATTTTGGTAATTGTATTTGGTATTCAAAATTAGGTTAAATGAAAATTCAATAACTCTCAATAAAGTTATGTACGCTGAGTGGGTTTAGGTTTTATCTCAATTTTATATTGTGTGATATGAATAGGTATAGAACCTGAAATTAAAAGTGGATGGCTTGATGGGTGCCCAGAATATTATTATAATGGGTAGGTACCTTCTTCCATTCAAAAATATAAATAGTAGAGTTAGGAAGTGATATATAGTAGAGTTAGGGAGTGATATGATCTATTAGTTGTCACCATATAAAAATTGAATTGGAAGAGGAAGACCCAAGTCTCCATATTAATCATATTTGTTTTGCAGAATGAAATTGTAATGATCCTTAATGATTTTTGGGTAACATATTGATTGTACAGATTAAGGTACCCAATTTATTATTATTATTATTTATATCTTGGTATTTTAAATCTTATATATGTTGATCCTTAAATTTTAACAAATTTATCCTTATTTTTTTAGGATATTTGTTCCTGGGGGTTTAGCCATTTAGCGCTTGTTTGGTTCCCTAGATTATTCACAGGATGGGACAAAAATTAGTCTGAACCAGTAATAGCCCACGTTTAGTGGTGTTAATGGATATGATAAAAAATATCCTACATTTTGTCTAGTGCTAACCTCAAGCAATAAAAATTATGCCACCTACCCCATGGGTTAAGGTGGGATGGATTAAATTTTTTCCAGAATTCTCATCACAATCCACAATCACCTCCCATTTCTCCTCATCTCATTGGTCATCACCATAGCAGGTATCACTCTGTTGAGTTTTACGTCAATTCTTTGATAAGTCTGAGATCTACATTTTCTTTTTTGTTTCTTCGTTAAGTACAAAACTCAGATGTATGCCCTTTTTCTCACTCGCAGCAATCCAACAATTCCTACGTATTTGTTCTTCTTTGGCACTGAGCTACTGATTTTGGTAAGTCTCTAACCTTTATCTTTGTTCTTGCATATTGTGTTTATGCTAACTTTGTAGAAAAAATAGAGGAATAACAAGCTTTTGGGTTGGGCAATAATTCATGCCTTGTGTGTGTATTTGGGAGAACTGTATGAACTACCTTGTATATATGAACTATAAGTGAGGTATTAATTTTAAAATTTCTCTTAATTATTAATGTTGATGAACTCAAATTATTTCCCAAAACATGCTTAAATTTTTTCTGTGTTTTTGATAAAAAGATTGTGCAAATTGTTGCTCTTGAACTGTAGTGGAACCATCTTTCCCCAATATTAAACAGAAGAACAATAGAAACTTATGTCTCTTTTTCGTGAAATTCTAGCAATATGTTGCGATGTTTATCCATATAATATTCCGTCCTATCTCAATTCTTTCTGTCTATTCTAGCAGTATACCATTTACCACATATATCTTCTTGGTATGATTATATTTCAGAATGAAGTTGAAATTGCTAAAATTCAGTTTTGGGATTCTTTGGACTTGAGAGCCTGTTGCTGTGTTTACTGCTTCTCTGTCAGCCTCACTTTTATTGTCTTGAGATTACTAGGATTTATTTTGTTTAGGAAAGAGAGATAAAGGTTTGATTGTTTGTGCTAGTTAAATTCTACAGCGTGTGATACTTGTGCATGGTCTATGGATGTTTAAGCAGCTTTGTCAAAAGGCATCGCATTTATTGTAAGCATGAGATTTTAGGTGGGTGTCATAATTAGATGGCACAATATAACTCAGTTTTGTTCTAATATATTAATATATTGAGTATGAACAAGAAATATTATTTATTTTGACATAATATATAATAGTAAAGATAAACTAAATTACTCAAAGTAGAAAAGAGAAATTGTGATATAAGTAAATCTCATAATGAATTAAACTAACGTGATTAATCTGTTCTAAACCTAAGCTCAATGCGCAAATTAACCTGTTTTGTAGGATAGGGTTTGGTCGTCTTGTTTAATATAAATATGACCATCCATGTCACAGAAGGTGAAATATTTAAAAGCCAATGTAGTATTGCAATTCAACCCTTCACCATTAAGGTTACCATTAACAGCCTCCATTACCAGTTTTACTCAAGTTTTATGCATGAGTCACATTTGTCTTTTACTTTCTTGATTTGCTATTAAAGAAATCTCATTTCTAGGAAAGATATATGTTTGTATTGTTATCGTTGTCTAATGTCATCTTTATAATGGTTGTTATAAGTTTTGATGTTAGTCTTAAGTACCAAATTTTGGATTTTTGGACCTAGTCTGCAGTATATATATCTATCAGATAAATAATTAAATTGTATGTAATAGACTAGCATACACATTGGCTGATTTAAAAATTGCTTGAATGCATAATAAACTACTAGTATGTTGCTGGAAGCATGAATTGGTCCATTAAGTGTCACATGGAGTTGTAATAGTGGGTTAAGTATACATGCATCTATAGATGTCCCTTAGCAGGTGTTTGAGGTGTAAAGATCAAAAGAATGATAATAGAACATAGTAGCTGGGGATTTCATGAATAAACTTGTGTGTTCTTTTGTATAGTTCTGAATAATTATTTGAAAAATAATGATATACTGTTTTTAAAAATGATTTTAAAGAGTTACTGCTGTCAGTGGGTGAACTTAGATTTTCTTTTGTCATGACTTTGCGCTTTCATGTAAACTTAATTTCTAAGTCCCAATAAGTTCCATAAATCATATATTTATATTCATTATATGGATTGGTTCTATGATATTTTTCTTGGTATTTTTCCTCCAAATGTTTTAGTGCTGCCTCTATGCTTTCAAAATTTTCTCTTTTTGTACAAGGTTGGTTCTTGTTCATTAATTCACTAGGTTGGGTTTTTGAGAATCTGAAGTAGACATTGGACTGAGATTAATCTTGTTTGTTCTCTGCCTTAGAAAACATAACCAGTAAAAAATATGCTGAATTCAGACGAACTCACACTTGAAGAAACCAAGCATACACTTTTTAAGTCAATTTGGGACTTATAATAGATTTTGTTCTAAAAGTTGTCAAAAGTGAAATTCAAGTCTAAATTTCAAAAGCAAATTTACAGCAAACAAATTATGTTGGTGGATTTGGCTATATTTGAGGTTTAGATCTTTTTGATGTTTATATATTATTTGGATGATTATTAATGGTAGATTAGGCTATTATTTTGTACTAAAACTTTTATATTAATTATTTTGGATGATCTTAGTATGCTAATTTCACCATTAATTTTCTTTCATTTTTGTTCTTCAAGATTCATATCTGGGAGGTTTTTTTTTTTTTTTTTGTGAATTATTTTGATAAATTTGACTTAGGATTGTTTTTTTAATTATATAAAGAGTATTTTTTGGTGGACATTCTAATAAATTATTTTGATAAATTAATATATTTTTTAGGTTAATTAAGGACTTTTTTTCCCTCGTAGACAAAATCTGGTAATTGTTAAAAATTTTAAAATTTTTTTCATGTTAGCAAATTTTAGTAAATTTGAGAATTTTTAAATATTTTAAATTTTAGGCATTTTTGTCTATATACATAAATTATGGAGATTATGTCATTTAATCAATCGTATTGCCAAATTAAGTATGAAATAAATCTTGTACCAAGAAACATGAGAGGGGAACGGTCCACTCTGGCCTAGTGGCCTTGGACCCTAGGTTAGGGCTGTTCACCTCCGTGGGTTGCACGTTCGAGCTCCACGGAACCCTTTTCCCTTTTCCCCAATTAGCTTGTAAATAATTACAAATTGATTAAAAAAAAAAAAAAAAGAAGAAGAAGAAGAAGGAAACATGAGAGGGGACTATTATTATCTTCTCAAATCTAATCCAGTTCCATCGTATTGGTTTTATCCAGTCCAGCACTATCCCAAGCTGCATTTCAAACGAGCCCTTAACAGTCTCTGATTTAGTACAGATACTTACTACTTTGCTAGACAATTTTTAGATCTCTGCAAGTAGAATCTCAGAAAAAAAAAATGTACCGAATCATGAAAAGTAATCCTGTATCGTAGAGTGACAAGAATGGTAAATACTTTTTGTCAAGAAAGGATGGAGAAAAGTAAGATTATATACCTGTAAATTTTTTTAATCCTTGGTTGATCTGAGTAAAGGATCAGACTTATCTGTGATCTGTTGATGTGAGTGAGGGCTTCGATTCTTCCGTGATTCTCGCTGAAGATTTCGTGATATCTTGGTCGATGCAAGGTAGATCTCCAATTTATCGGTGATCGGTGATCGGCGATTGGCGATCGGCGATCCTTGCTTCAGTTCCTGTTTATGTGCTTCACGGCTCCCGTGTTTCGTGGTACTCCGACAAAAACCATAGCTGATTTGCCAGATAATAGGTATTAAAAGTGTATTAATTGTCTATCTTTTAATGTATAGAAAAATGCAAAAAATTTCATCTTTTAACGTTATCAGCACAGGCATAATTTTAATTGGAAGGTCAATAAAATTAAATTAGTTTTTATTTTTTCTTATCTATTATTTAGAAAATGATACAATTAATACACACTTTTTTAAGCCGTAAGGGCGCAAGGTAGAAAAGTATTTTATTCAGGGGTAGATGCTACTCCCTTTGTTTCATAATAGTAGACATTTCTTTTTTATCAAAATTTGTTCTAAATTAGTAGTGGTCATTTTTTTATATTTTAAAAGAGAATTATTTTTTCTTTATTTGAATCTTATTAGTATCCCTTAAGTTTAATTTTTACTCTATCATAAAAAGCCTCTCTCTTTATTTCTTTTATTAGAATCATACAAGTAAAAATATAAATTGTTATTAATTGCTTAATCAATAAAATAAAAAGGGACTCATTATGTGATGGAGCATAGGGAAGTATTTGCATGCATTTAAAAATAAAAAATAAAAAAATGTAAAAAACGCAAAGATTATCGTTAAATAAGTGAAAATATGAAAATATATAATATATGGTTTCAGTAGAGTAAAAAAAGGATAATCATTAAATGAAATATAACATTATAAGAAAAAGTTATAAAAAAGTTTGTCTCAATTATTTTTCAACCAAATTAAAGTGAAATTACATTTTAACCAGCTCATCATTGTCAGTTATCTGGTTATGATGGTTTGGATAGAGTTAGTAGTTTACACGGTTAAGTGATTAGTTAACAATATATTAATTACAATTGTGGTTTGTCAAGCACGTTTAGCCATAAATGTAGTAATAATTAATGAATTTTTTAATTTGTGTCATTAAATGTATGTTTTTTTGTCATAAATGTATGATGAAAAATGTAAAAATAATATTAATTTTAATATCATTATGAAGTTAATAAATTTAATTAGATTATTAATATAAATTTATGAGCATACAAAAAATTAAGATATCTTAACATTAAAATTACTAAGATGTATAATCACAACTATTATTTAGGTGGGGTACAACTATCATTTAAATGAACTCTTATCTAAATGATTGTTGTAATTGAATATTTAGATAATTTTAATAATGAGACATCTTATTTTTTACTTTTTTATAAATTTATAATAAATAAGACATATTAAAAAAACCGTAGTTCATTGGACCCATTTGGATTCGAGTTTTGCATCAGATACTGTTGGTGAAGTGGGTTGGGTCAACCTGGGACTGTCTGGCCTGGTCAGACTGTTGTGGATCATCTTCTGAGCTCAATTCTTTTTCTTTATGGGCTATAAAAAAAGAAGAAGGAAAAATGAAGGTTTCATACTTTGAATTATTGGACGAATTTGATTTTCAAAACCAAAAATAAAATAAAATAACATATTAGTGTTATTAGTTAAATCTCAAAGAATTAAAAGGAAAAATACTCTAAAACAAACTATTTTATTAAAGTACTGGAAAAGACCGAAAGCAAATTTATTCATAATTTAAAAATAAATTATTTTAGTTTTTTAACAAAAATTTATTAAAATAACATAATTTTGAGTTTTTTTTTTCAGAAGTCTAGTTGATAACCACTTTTAACATAAAATAAAGCTTTAATGCAATTTAAATTTGCTAATTAGTACTAATATGTTTTAGCAATAAATTTGATTAGTTCTCATTAACTTTAATTAATTGGAATTAATTAACTTGATACTAATTAATTAATCTTAATTAAAGTTAAAAGTTAACGGTTTTT